AATGTAGTAGGAAAATCTATGAAATAAGAGTAAGGAGGTTTAAGCTTCAGAGGGCTGGCATATCTTGCCTTTCTTTTCATAAATAGACATGTACTTATGGATACATGGTAATATCTTTATTTTTCAGCAATTATAGTTAAGGAACTACTGTCACAGATGACCACATTTGTGAATGCTATCGATGTAAATGTAAGTGAATTAAAGTACAAAGAAGTATATACAGCACAAAGAAGTATATACAGTACCATTTCATTAATAACATTTCACAAGCAAACAAAACTAATTTATGCTAGTTACCTTTGGGGATTGATAACTGAAAGTGGGCAGGGTAGAGGCTTTTGAGGTTCTTTGTAATTGTCTATATTTTTACCTTGGTGGTGATTACATAATGTGATTACATTGTAAAATTTCCCTGAGTTGCTATAAGCTTTAGTATAAGCTTAATATGTGTGTACTTTATATGAGTAAGTTATCAATGAATTAGAACATACACACACACACACACACACACACACACACGTAAGCTTTAGAGGTTCTTTTCTCAGAGCTCTTTCAAGATCATGCTTGTGTAACTGTGAAGACAACAGATACTTATATGCTTCCAGCTGTAGCACCATTCGGTTCTGCCACAAAATTTGAATGGAGACTGCATTTTTTTCTGGACAGTTCTGAACCAATGACTGAGCATGCTGGAGCTGCTAGGGCCTGGCCATTTCTGCCCAATACAGAAGTCCTATAATGAATAATCTTTATTCCGAAGCTCTCCTCTTGGCTACCCAAAACCTTGTCAAATCTGTATTGCAGTCTGAAGGTCTCCCTGGAAAATTCCACTTCATGCCCCCTTTGTTTTCCCAGCTGTCACATTTGCATTGTGGTCTGAAGACTTTCCTTGATCAACCCAGCTTCCTCCTCTTTCCTCTTTCACAGGTATTTCCTTCAGCTGCCCTACCTACCCAATGAAAATTTTGCATTCCCAACTGGTTCTCAATATTTGCTTCCCAAAGAACCCTAACTGATACAATATATATCCAGCGGAAGCTCACAGTGCAATAGTTCATTTTTCTAATTATTATCAATTATGTATTCATTCATCCAATCAGTTAATAAATATGTATTGAGCTATTACTACATTCTAGGCATTGCTATGTTTTCTAGAATATAGCAAGAAAGAAAAGAAAGAAAAGGAAGAAAGAAAGAAAGAAAGGCAGGAGGCAGGAAAGTAGGAAGGTAGGAAGGAAGAAAGGGAGGAAGGGGAAAAAAAGAATAAAAGATGAAATCAAAGATTAGTAGAGATTTTTGGCCTGAATATCAGTGTGTTATTTACTAAAATGGAGAAGAATGAAATAGAGAAATTTGGGCACAAGAAAAAAAAAAACAAAATTTCTTTCTAAATTAGACATGTTGATTTTTAGGTAGCTATTGACCACTAGAGTAGAAGGCAGCTGAATATGCAGTATGAAGGCCAAGTGAGAGAAATGAGGTCAGTGCTGGAGCAGGAATTCTAAGTATCATCAGCATGTATTATTTAAACATGTGACGTTGACGTGTTAGACCTAAAAATAGTCAAAGTTTCTAATTGTGTGTTTTTTAACCCATACCATAATAGTTTCTATAAGAAAAAGTTTGACATCATATTTATGGTTGGTTATGGTTTTTTTGTTAAATCATATTACCATGATTCTTTTGATACAAATGCAGGATTCTAACTTTCATGTTAGTTCATAACCTTCAGACTCCAACTACCATTGAAGGACCTCTAATTTCTTTAAAACAAATATAGCAAACTATTTCTTAGAGTTCCTATGGGTCATATATGCACTCAAGAAGTATGTTGGAGCCAGGTGTGGTGTAATGTGCCTGTAATTCCAGCTACTTAGGAGGCTGAGGATGGAGACTGGCTGGAGCCCAGGAGTGCAAGACCAGCCTGAGTACTATTAAAATATTTCTGTCACTAAAGAAAAAAAGAAGTACACTGGAATATTTTGTGATCTTTGCAATATTCTGTTTCTACTTTAGGTTCTCTTCCATTGCATGATTTTCTTTATTCCCGAATAAAGCATATTATGTTCTGTGAAGTAATCCAGTTCTTACTGTGTCTGCTATCCTTGTAATGACATCTGCCATTGCTATCTGACATCACGGTGCCATGTGATTGGCAAGGCACTTCAAGAAGGGGGAAAAGAGAGTCATAATGTTTTTCTTTCTAAAGGCAAAGCCATGCAAACTTCTATATTAATGCAAAAAGTCTGTTTTTCAAATACTGGATAATTGATAGTCTTTTGCTCTGACCATTCGAATGGAATTCTGACAAAGTCTAATTTAAGAGGCAAGAATATTGCTTTTATAATTCTGAATGCAAAAACATAATATGCCTTCTGAAAAAATCATTTAGGAGATTTATAAATATTTATTCATTGAATTTTAATCTGAAACAAGAAATAAAATCACAATGGATAGAAAAATAGTGTAGATTAATTAAAAATCAAATAATGTTATATACTGATTAATGTTTTATGTGTCAATTACTATGCTTTATGTAGTTTGCCTCATTTAGTCTTCTCAGTGACGAAAAGATAAGTATTATTATCCTCATTCACACATGAGATAACTGGAAATCATGATGGATATTATTCAGGATTCAAATCCATATTTTTTTACTCAAAGAGCCCCTCTTTCAATAATACGCACCATTCTACTAGAAAATTCAGATATTGGTGTTTAAATATAGAAAAATATAGCAAAGTCTATATTATTCACAACATAATGAGCTAAAATATGCTATTCTAACTCAATGTGTTAGAAATAATAAGAAGGAATATTAACTTGAACGTTTACCTGACATCACACAGTAGGAGAAATCTACACCGCACTGGAGAGTATCAGGAAATTAATAAAATAGGCAAACTAACCAAGAACAAAAGAGAAGACACAAATTGCCAATATTATATATAGTAAGAGAAGTGACACTGCTCCAGAATCAATAGATAGCTAAAGGAAAATAAGCAATATTATTAACAACTTAATGTGAATAAATTATATAGCATTTATAAAGTGGGAAAAATTCTTTGAAACACACAATCTATTAAAGTTCACCTAAAAAGAAAAAGATAGCAAGAAAAGTTCTATATCTATTCAAGAAATTGAATTTTAGCTAAAAACCTCCCTACAAAGAAAACTCCAGGCCCATATAGCTTCACTGATTAATTCTATCATATATTGCAGTGAAAAGAAATAGTAATTGTCTAATACTTCTCAAAACTCAATAAGAAACAATATCAACAGTTCTTTTTTTAAATGTACAAAGTATTTGAACAGAGCCCTCATTGACAGAAGATAAATGGATGACAATCGGATAAAATGCTGTTCAACCTCATAGTCATTAGGGAAATGCAAAATAAAATTAGATGCCATTATACAACCAATATAATGGCAGATCACACCAAGTCTTGGAGAGAATGAGAAACAACTAGAACTTGTATAATTGTTGGTGAGAATGAAAAATAGTATTAATATAATCAGGTTTTTAAAAGTTTGGCAGGACTAGGTGCAGTGGTTCAAGCCTATAATCCCAGCACTTTGGGAGGCCAAGGTGGGGCAGATCACTTGAGCTCAGATCCAGACCAGCTTTGGTAACATGGCAAAACCCTATCTCTACCAAAAATTCAGAAATTAGTTGGGCATTGTGGTACACACCTGTAGTTCCAGCTACTCAGAAGGCTGAGAGGATGGCTTGAGCCTGGGAGTTGGAGGTTGCAGTGAGCCACAATCAAGTCCCTGTACTCTAGTCTGGGCAACAGAGCCAGACCTTGTCTCCAAAAGAAAAGAATAAAAGTTTGGCACCTTTTTTCCACCTAGCATACGATGATCATACCACCCATAGGTATTTACCCATGAGAAACGAAAACATACACCCATATAAACATATTACCTGAAAGTTTACAGCAGATTAATTTCTAATAGCCAAAAAATAGAGATAATCCAAATGTCCATCAACAGGTGAATTGAAAAGGTAATTATGATACATTCATAGAATGGAATCTTATTTAGCATTAAAAATAAATGAACTCTTGATATATGCAGCAAGGATAAATCCCAAAAAAATGTACTGAAGGAAAGAGCAAGATTAAAATGTGAGCATATGGTATAACATTTATATACAACTCTAGAAAATGTAAATTAATCTAGAGTGACACAAAGCAGTTCAATGGTTGTCTACAGCTGAGGGTAGAGGGTACCTGAGGGGAATTACACAAGGGAAGGAGACAATTTTAAGGGGGCAGAAGGTTGTGTTCATTTTCTTGATTCTGGTGATGGTTGCTGACTTAGCAACATGTCAAAACTTGTCCAATTGTATATTTTAAATATGTACAGTTTATGGTATATACATTATATCTGGATAGGATCATTTATATAAAATTCATTTGAAGGAAAACCAGATAGTGTTTAAGACAAATTAGAAAAGACTATAACTTGAAACAATGGCTGCCTATAGAAAGATGAACGATAAAATGTAAAAATAATATCTATCCTTCCATATATTAATGAAAAGACTGACATAAGTTTTGTTTCTAGAAATTTAAATGAAGAAAATGATAAAACTCTTGGAGAAGTTTTATTTCTGGAAGGGGAAGGACTAGAGTCTACTATAATGAGATAGTTTATCTTTACACCATATATGTAAAAATGCACTACATACACATACTATACACTACATTTATCATATCAGTGATCCTCTATACCTGCTGTACTACTCTGACTCCTTTTCCTGTTTAAAAAATGGTTTCCACTTAACATCTGGCTAGCTTTAATTGGTTCCAGGAGTGCTGAAAATGCAGATAGAATAGCACCTGCTGTGTTCCTTTGGAAACTAGTATATAATAATACCTAATACAATCCCTACACGTTACTTTATTCTCATGGATTCAACATAGTACTTGGCATGTAGCAAATGTAAGTTTTTCTTTTTGTAACTTTGTGAAAAAAATTTTTTGAATACTTACAATCTACATACAGTTGGTTGAATCCACTGATATGGAACTGATGGATACAGAAGGCCAACTACAGTTGAGAAAGAAATGAAAGATTGCTTTAGAAGTCTATGAATGGCATACACATCAGTGAGTAGGACTAGAAGACAAATAAAGAGCAAACATATATGCACCTAGTGGATCAAAAGTAGATTGTGTTTTGTTTGCACTGTGCCCTCATACTCTGGCAAGTCGTATGTAAGATTTGTGCTTGGTGAACTAAAAAGAAACTGCATGAATTTCCCACTGCTGCTGTAACAAAATTACCACAAACTCAGTGGCTTAAAATAAAACTTGTATTTTCTTACATTTTTGGAGGTCAGAAGTACAAAGCATCACAATCAAGCTGGTGACAAAACTGTGTTCCTGCTGCAGGTGCTAGAGAAGAATCCATTTATTTCACGTGTTTTCCAGCTTCCAGAGTAAGCCCCCATTTCTAGGCTCATGGCTACATCACTCAGCCTCCGCTTCTGTCATCACATCACTTGCTCCCTCTTGTAAGAACTCTGCTGATTACGTTGGGCCTATCTGGATGATCCAGGATAATCTCCCTATTGCAGGAGCCTTAATTTAATCACAACTGTACAGTTTCCTTTGCCACACAGGGTAACATGTTCTGGGGATTAGGGCTTAAATCTCTTTTTTTTCAGACAAAGTCTTGCTCTGTTGCCCAGGCTGGAGTGCAGTAGCATGATCTCGGCTCCCTGCAACCTCACCTCCTGGGTTCAAGTGATTCTCCTGCCTCAGCATCCCAGGTAGCTGGGATTATAGGCATGCCTCACCATGCCCAGCTAATTTTTGTACTTTTAGTAGAGATGGGGTTTCACTATGTTGGTCAGGCTGGTCTCAAACTCCTGACCTCAAAGGATCTGCCTGCCTCAGCCTCCCAAAGTGGTGGGATTACAGGCATGAGCCACCGAGCCTGGCAGGGCTTAAATATATTTGGGGAGGTCATTAATTTGCCTACTACAGGAGCCATCTGTGTCTCAATTATAACACTGTATTTCTCCCACCAGTTTCCCACTAAGGAGAATACATGACTTCATGTGAAGAAGATAAGTACATTTTGTATTAAATCATAAAATAAAGGACTACTTTTTATTTCACCTTCAGAATGATGAAATGTCTTGAGCAACTAATCACAAGTCCATTAGAATGGAGGTGGTGAATAGTGGTTGATTAAGCACTGCACTTGAAGTCAGATGACATGGACTCAACTCCTACCTCTATGAGAATTCCTTAACATTGTGCCTGGGAAACACTAAATAATCAAAGAGTATCTGTCGTATGAGATTGAAGGGCAGTATAAAAACCAGCCATTTTGAGTTCTTAAAAAGGGTGAACACAGTGGGTATAAAAAGAGATAATGCAAAGTCACAATTTATCTTGTGGCTTTATTAAGACACTGTGTTTCCTAAATTGAGCTCTTCCCCAGTTTATATATTTTCCCAATTATTATTAACTATAATGAGACATTAAGACATAAAATATGAAAATTAGTCTTGTTTTATTATTCAGCATCTGATGAACCATGCAAGTTACAGAAAATATTTTTAGAAGTAGTTTTCTGTGTATATCAGATAACAGAATAAGATGTGGATCTTAAAGCAAAGCGAGCTGATTTGGAAGCACAATAAAAAGAGATTAACCAATTTATATCATGGACATTTTTCAAACAGAAACGTACAAATAGGTTGTCCATATGCTCTTAGATTGGTGTTTGGAGAGAAAGATGAAGAAGTAGGTTGAGGATTACTACTCAGGTTAAACTAAATGTGTACAATACAATGTAAGGAATCAAGACAGTGTCAGTATTGATCTACTATGATCAGCATTGCCATCCTCCTTCCCTGACCTCATCCTGACCTGTTCTTGTAAATTACTGCTTTCAGAGATTACTATGGTAGCCTCTTGTAGCTGTTTTTGCCAGTGGCCCAACAGACATTCGAATTTGCATTTTTTTCAAATTACCTGTAAGTGCTTGTACAGGTAGACAGGTCAGCACTGCATTTTCATCGTCATTGAGGTCAGCTAAAGGTAGGTTTCCTGATAAGACTACTGTAGTAGCTCACATATATTATATTTACAATAATTCCTTAAGAATATTGTACAAAGCCTTGGGTTTTCTTCTTTAATATTGAAAAATGCAAATTGTCACATTATCAGTGTTTGTTCCCTCTACATTTTGCAATACCTGAGGCAAGGTCCGTGTCCTTGGGTGTGTTTTTTTAGGGGTGGGGTAGGGAGGCTCTCTGATTTTTTCCCTGGTCTGTGTATGTGTGTGTGTGCACATATTCGGGTGTAGGGGTGCATGCCAGTCAGTTGAGGGTGGACTGGGAAGGATTCCAGGGTTTTACAATATAAAGTCCCTTAATATCTTCAAGTAGTGTCTGATTTCAGCAATCTTGACAGGATCCTCAGCCATGCTCATGTCTACCTGCACCACCAGAGCACAGAGGTAAGTCTACAAATGAGTTTCCAGGAACAGACCAAGTCTCAATTCTCTGGAACAAATATTCAAGCTTGTATCTATTATATTGGGCAAGTATACATGCATTTATTCTAAATATATTTTAACTGTCAGCTGCCTAATATGTCAATGGTTAAGATTTTATCATGCTTAAAATGAAAAAGTAAACATAGGTTATACAACTATTTCTATTTAAATTTTGAATTTATTCATTAATTCTGTTCAGGTGAGAGGTCAAGCCTAGAAGGGGGACACTTGTTACTGCAAGAGAGAGTCAGAAAGCAGGAGGGATAAAGGTATATACTTTTGTCTTCCTCTCCTCCTGCCCTTTGATATTTAAATTTCCTCTTAGTACATCCCATTGGACAAACCCAGCTGCAAGTCAGAGGGCAAAGGAGTCTGGGTATTGTAAACCATAGACGGCAGCCTTCCAGAAAGCCTGAGGAGGACAGGCAAGAATGGATAAAGATCAATAGGATATGGATAAGGATCAAGTAGGAAATAAGGAAAAGTTCCTTGTCTTCCCTTTCCCTCAGGTTCCTCTCTAAAAGGAATTACTTGAAACTCTTTAGCTTATTCTTTAGATATTTACTTTCACATCTCTACTAAGTTCACTTATATTACTAATTCCTGGTTTTTTAATACTAGACATTTTCTACTGATGTCCCAATTTCAACCCCTAATCTAATATACCAACACACACCAAATACATTTTTTTTTACCTTCTCAATATTTTATATGGTAAGTTTGGTTATATCAGTTTTCTGTGTTTGTATTACCAAAATTACACATATGCTATGCACAACTAAACATATTTTACACTATGACTAGTTTTCCTTTCTTGCACAAATCTTTTGGCTGTTGTTCCCTAGGTCTATTAGTATCCATGTTTTGTTTTGTTTTTTTTCATTTGTTCAGTATACTAAATATTACTTGTTACTTCCAACACTGGCTTTCCAATAATTATCTAAATTTGCTTTTAAGCCATGCAAATGCAGTAGGTATTGCATCAAAGTCTTCTTTTTGGAATCATCCCTCCCAGAGGTTCTGACATATTCCAGTTTTGTCTGGTTGCTCTGTGAGATAGGTGCATATCTGCTTGCCTGGGATATCCCTTCACCTTATCCATAATGTTTGTTTGTATCCCCTGTTTGGTGTAGCTTATATTTCTCTTTTTATTATGTCGATGCAAATGTTATTGCAGTTTTGCCATTACTTTCGACGGCAAAAAAAGCAATTACTTTTGTAGCAACCTAATAATTTACTTCCTTGTTATGGCAGAACATAGAAGGAATGCATAAAAAGTTAAATTTCTGAGGAGATATATATATATATATATCACCATATGTCATCTTTCTATCGTCATTCTTGCCTAATATTAGCTTAGTATAGTACTCGAGGTTGGAAATGTTTTTAACCTCGGATTTTTGAAACCATGTCTCCACTGTCTTCAAGCTGTCAGTGCTTCTATTAAAAGCACCCAGTCATCTGGGCACCTAAACATTTTTGTGGACCTGTTTTTCCTCTGACTTATAGCTTCTTTTGTCCTCAATATTTGGAAGTTTTACAAACATATGCCTTGGCAGTTGTAAAAAATTAACCATTTGTATTTTTCCATATCATCTTACCCAAAGTAAGTGCTGGCTAAGTTATGCTAGAGGTTCTTGGGAAAGTACTTCAGTGACTGTCAGTCATTATCTTTCTATAGCTACACCTGAGAGAAGGTTCACATGTATCATATTTCCATTAGTTAGCTTCAGACACTAAGAGCTACTATACAGGTAAGATTGGCTAAAAATACATGCAATTACTGACTACATACTGTTCATGCAATGTTTTTCTCAGCCCCCCAAATCATTGTCACTACACTGTATTTTTTAAAAACAGCTTCACTAGAAACATTTCTTAATGTTAAGAAGTAGGAAGTCTGTTAGTCATTGGGACTGATTTGCCAAAGTCCATGCAATTATAATATGGTAGAGTTTAGATTCCACACATACATTAAAACTGTGTGATCCTTAACCATTTGGAGCATGGAGGTGATGGTAGCTACCAATGATTTCTCAGGATTTGTGAATTATTTGAATCTTTGGTGTCATAAATTTCTCATGTGTTTTAGTGTTTTTATTACATATTCTCAGCTTTTAACACCAGTTGATGTGGCTTTCACATATAATTATAATTGAAGCAAAATTATACATTTGGGTAAATGAACGTATTTACCAGCACATTCTTTAGATATCAATATATGACCTTCAAAGTGAATTCATTTTGATATTTTTCTCCTGAATGAGCTGTGTTTTTGCTATGAGACTACCTCTCAAAGAAGCACCGAACTACCTGCATTGGGTTTCAGCTCCATAATTAATGATATCTGTTTTTTGGTGACAAAGGAGAATAAGAAATGCTTATGCAATAGGTATCTAATGGCAGAGAGCAGATGATTACTTAACCCAAGGCTAAAAATTATCATTTTATTGTCTGCAGGTGTTTGAAGAGTATCTCTATGGTTGAGAATTCCTACTGAATATTGTCTTCTTATGATGCACGATGGACATAGGATTTGCTTTAAAGATTTGTCTTCTTCCCCTGAGATGGGAGTAGAGTGATCAGAAAGGGAATGCATAAAATGAAAATAAATCTGTTCTAAATTCACAAAAAACTCATTATATTCAGATTATTGAGAGTGTTTACGAATGTGTGTTTGTTTATGTGTGTACATATGTTTCTTTGTGAGAAAATACAGATGAGTCATCGACAGACTTTTGACTGGATAGTTTAAAATGGAATGGTCTGATGCTTGTGCTAAAAACTATTGAATGTGCCTAGTTGCCTGAGCTGAAAATTCAAACTCTGTTACAAATACCTTTGGTCAAGCTTAGCATTCCCTAAAATAAACTCAACATATATTTACACCTTACTATTAAGAATAAACTATAATGTTTTTTTTTAAAAAATTAAATATTATACTTAAATGAAAAAGAATACAGGAGAGGCAATATGTGAGGACAATACATTTTTCTGAATTCAACACATACTAGGTAATAACATAAAATAGACATTTAAAATGATTTTGATATAGGGAAACTCTTGTAATGACTACATAAAACCTCGTAACCATTTTTAAAAGCAACAAAGAAGATGATCAAGTGGCTAAGCTGATGTCAGACATTTCAAAGTTACTGTTAATCTTGAAGGAAGAAGAGATAGACTTAAAAGAACAGAGAACACTAACTTCATGTTTAGGTCTAGAAATATGATATTAAATATTATTCTTATTGACTCAGCATCTTGGTAAAGATGTCAAAAGTTGGCAGCAACACAGCTGATTCAAGTAACCCCATATTCTAAAGCAAGTTGCTATACTATGTGTACAGGTTATCTGTAAGACTGAGAAACAGGTTGCACTAGCATTAGCCCATCATCTGCTCTCCTGGAGACCTTTGCTTCATGAACTGAGTGTTCTGTCCCCCACTTCCTTGGTGAGGGGAAGAAGTGGATGCCTCCTCTTCATTGAGTCAAATGAAACATCTTCAGAAAGAACAACTTAGAGGGAGCTTAGCATTAGATTTTAGGTTTTAAATATTATAAGAACAGGTATCTGCCTCCTACCTATTAGAATTTAAGTGTGAGATGGGTTGGTTATAGCTAGCCCTACAGGCATCAGAGAAGGGAGAATTTTTCTGTATCTCAAGGCACAATGACCAAGAGGTTTGGTTTTCCCAGGGCTGAGGGAGTTTCCAGGAGATGGGACTTTCAGCTATGAAAATGGGTAAGTCTCCTGGGCAAACAGAGCTACTAATTGATGAGCCTAGTCTAAGACTTTAGAGGGTGCCAGAATATATGGAAATTTCCTGTGGCCAGACATGGATCTTATCCAAGAACCAAAATTAAGTAGTCTTGAGAAAGCTTCATTCAAGAGGCCTACCTGGAAATGTGAAATGACCCAGAAGATGCAAACATTTAAGAAAAACAAAGGGGGTAAACCAGAGTTGTACATGGCCAGTCAGATGCAGAATTTCTCAGGTTGAAAATAACATAATTGAGAGACACCCAGGAATCGTCTCCTGAGAACCCACCAAAGCTCCAACAGGAGAAAGAGTGGGAGTTTTGTCACCTGATGGACAGAATGCAACATGCTAAATTATACATGCACAGATAAGTAACAGCTTTTCTTTCCCTTATCACTTCTCCCTTCTTCCACTAGGACCCTGGAGGGGCTCCAAACAGCAGGTGGTGACATGCAGTGACAGAGTTGGTGCAATAATTAGGAAGAAGCCAACTATAGCTCCCTTTCACCTACAGTTTGTAGTCACAAACCAGGAAAGAAGGGAAGTTTTACATTTATGTGATCATTAAACTACAATGGACATTGTACTACCTAAAAGTAACTGAGAATCACCAGGAAAATCTATGGGTCCTGTGATTTTTACGAAGACACAGGCAAGAACTTGAGAGAATGGGCTTGAAGGGGCAGTATGAGAAAGAATAAAGTCACATTTAATAATTAGAGTCTCAAGTCACATTAAATAAATAGAATGTATTTAACCTCATCAAGACCTTGAGGTACAGAAAGTGAAAAATCATAAATCTCGACTTGAAGAGTGTGAAGGGAAAGTACACTCATTTGTGGGGCAGGAGGTTTTCAAAACATAGAGAACGCTCACGGCCGAGTTGGAGGATGTAGGAGAGTTTTAGGGTGAGAAAACTGAAGTTTGAGATGACACAGGCGAAGGGTTTTAATAACGTAGGAAAGAATAAGGGTCCACGTACAGATGGATCCTCTGGAAGTCTTGGAAATACTGCGCTGACTAAGGTAAATATCCATGTGAACCCTGATGTGATCAATGCAGTTAGAATCCCAGAGAATGGTGGGCCATTCAGGACGGTCTTCTCTATTTAGCTGGAAGTTAGAGGTACAGGGACTGTATCTAGGGATCAGCTTATCAAATGACCTCATCAGATGTCCATATTCCAATGCATTTCTTAGTTTGGTTATGTGGAATCTGATGCCTCAGGAGAATCTGTCCTATGAAACCTACTTAATTCTACTTTGAATTAAGGAAAACTAAGGAAATTCTGAGGCAGAAGAATCAGCACTTGGAGTGAAGCTGCTTGAGTTCTCACCTGTAACTAGATTAACTGTTGTGCTTTTTATCAGATGAGCATGTCATTGGTTCCAAATAAGTTCACTGCGTACAACAGCCCTGCAGGATGGTGCATGATGGAGAGGGTAAACGGAGTCTGAAATGCAGCCTGTAATATGCTTGTCAAGCTACATGCCCATTATGTTGCAGTTGCCAGAAGCAATGGTTTTTTTCTCATTCATACAAAAGTGCTTTATGGGGTACTGAACAGGACTGGAAGCAGAAATTTAAGTCGCCTTACAAACAAGGGCAAGAACCCAAGCCTTAACACTGAGGCCAAATGGAAGATTTTCTCTCCATCAATTCATACCCCTGTTGAATTATATTCATTGGAAGTAATACATGCTTTGGAATTTTAGCTTAAATTTTGGATTACTGTTTCTTAAAATGTCTTCAAAAACATTACAAGAAGATACAATATTAACAAAAAAGTAATTCATATGCAAAAGGTTGCCTGTGATAGATAATTTAATTAAAGGTAGTAGACAACAGGAAGTCTTTTAGATTAGTTGTAGAAAATGTCACAGCCAGCAGAGGTGGATGTGATTGATTTCTGCACTGAGTACTATCAGTTAATGTGGCACAGCTATCTATGTAAAGTTGACAGGTGAATTTTAGTAGAAACTGTTTATAATCCATCTGATGAAAGTAGTTAGGGAAGAAATTTAGGAAGAAATAAAATCTAAATAGTACTTAAAAAGAAATATTCTTTCACATACCTCAGTATTTTATAGGATACCTCAAAAGGGCTAACGTGTCTGAGAGGATGAACTTGGGTTGAAAAGATCAAACAGTTACTCTGCTACTGGGCAGTACCCGAAGACTGTGGATCTGGAATGAGAAGAAAGCTGTAATTAATTCTTCAGTTCAACTAAACTTTTTTTTTTTCAAAACTAACTTCTTGATATACTGTACCTTCCTCATTCATGTTTTATTTAATATTTTAGACCAATCACAAATAAAGTAAGTTCTAGTTTTCTTCAGGTTTTACCATCATAGATATTACATAGTGTGTTATACATCCTTTAAATATACTTTAAGATCACCAGCACTACAAAATGGGTTTCGACTCATAGCTGCTTTAGGAAGATATGAGGGAAGGGTGTGTACGATTTCCCATTTTCCAGAAAAGAAATATAAATATAACAGTTCCAAATATAATACAATTGCCAAACTACATGAAAGCAGCTATTAGTTAAAAAAATTAATAAAAGGGCAAAAAATTTAAAAAGACAGAATGTAAGAAAAGTAACTTTAGACTAGGCACGGTGGCTCACTCCTATAATCCTAGCACTTTGGGTGGCCGAGGCGGGCAGATTATCTGAGATCAGGAATTCGAGACCAGCCTGGCCAACATGGTGAAACCCTGTCTCTACTAAAATACAAAAATTAGCTGGGTGTGGTGGTGCATGCCTGTAATCCCAGCTACTCTGGAGGCTGAGACAGGGGAATCGCTTGAACCCGGGAGGTGGAGGCTGCAGTGAGCTGAGATAGCGCTACTGCACTCCAGCCTGGGCAACAGAGTGAGACTCCATCGAAAGGAAAGGGAAGGGAACGGGAAGGGGAATGGGAAGGGGAAGGGAACGAAGTAATTTTAGTGCAGGAAGACACTGGATGAGAGGAAATAACCATTTACCCACCTTTTGTAGTGAATGAAGTTCAATATTAATGACATTGGGATTTGTGTCATTTCCCTCCTCCTTCAATATTTGTGTCACATTTTAACTATGATTTGATCCCTGTGGTTAGTTGTTTATAAACTTTCTAAACATCTCTCTTAGGTATGATTGTCAAATTTTCTGCTAATTTTGACAATTTGGTGATTTATATATTTTGAAAAATCATCCCACTGAAACTTTAAAATACATCAATAAATATTTTTATCAGTGATTACACCTTTTATTTTATATCCTTATTTCTTCCCCAATCTCCTGGTGTCTAAAAAATAGACCATCTGTATGCACATATTAAAATAAGTGTAATTTTGTTTTGTCATCTGTAATGTAACGTTCAACCACAAACAACATTTGTTCATCTGTGATGCACCATTCAAAATGTCCCTCAAATCCATTTTCCCTGAAAAAAAAGCATAAAGAATTCCATAGGAGTCTGCTGTGATAATGGAAGGGAAGCTCCTTGCTCATAACCCCAATACACATTAAACAGACTGAGAGAAAAATTTATTCTTTCTGCTCCCAGAATTCTAAAACTATCAGAATCACAGAACTAAAAGAATACTTTGACATATACCTATATTCACCAACTTATTTCCCAGTTTATGCCAACTTATGAACGAGAGTTTTTCAATTCTTCATGTGGGGCTATACTAGGATGTGACCCTCAATGACTCATATTACAAGAAAGACATTTATGCTTAAACAAAAAACTCTTTAATTGTGCTTTGAATTTGGTTTATATACTGCAACATGGATGGGAATATTTGTAAAAATGTCTACGTTGCTTTAAAATATGCATAAAACTTCTTTTAAGTTTCAGGAAGCACTCTTGCTGGTTTAGTTCCAAGAAGCATTCTTGCTGGTTCCCATCCTTGAGGGGAATCTTGAAGATAATTAATTGGTGCAAAATATGAAAGTAAAGTGACTTTGTGAGAGAGTCTATGAAGCCAATTCAAAAAAGGTGAGCACGAAAAAGATAAAAACAGAGCTGAACAGTTACTGTAAATTAAATGTGTGATGTGTGTTTCTTACATTTCTCTACTGTCTTTTATGCACATACTAAAAATGTAAAATACATACAAACTTTAGGTATACATACATAAGAAAAAACATTGCATGTTTGCCCCTTTTCAGATTCTCTTCTTTATTGAAATGTGAAAGGAGGTTTCTGAAGAAAGTCCTAAAATATTGCAAAAGAATATTCTTTTGGCATAGAATGTGTCATCTCTGGACAATTCTAATCCCAACTTGATAATCATGAGTAACTCGTGAAAGTATACAATATGTGGTTTGTATCTGTGCCCCACAGCCCAGTGTGTGAGCAGACTCCCTTAAGAAAAAATTTTCAAAAGCAACAAAAATACATTTTCTTTTATTATGTTTGTTTTGAGGATAATCAGAGTATATATTAACTTATTAGAGATAATGCTTATAATGTTTGTAGGATAGTAACAATGCCTTATGTATTTTAAGGGTTTTTAGATACTAGTTCCTTATGCCTGTTTCTCTTTCTGCCACATCCATCCATATGTCACAATCTCATATGAAATCATTTTTTCATTCTCACACTTCAAAATCAAATTTATTCTGTGTGATAATTTTATTTCCTTATCCTTACTATATTTATAGTTGTATAATATTAATATACTTATATTTCATTTATGAAACTTTAAAACATAAATGAGAGACTTCTCTATCTGGGTAGGATAGGGCAATTTGTGGCATAACAATGTTGCTATAAAAACCAGAAAAGTTCATAAAAATTTGTTTTAAAAATATGTTTAAAGGAATCAGGGGGCTTCAGAAACAACAATAACTACAGGCACTAAAATTTTAGAGTAGATAGAACCTCTCATAGGTGAGGTGATCATCTGTGACTGCTTTTCTTCTGAAGTCGCAAGTCCTGGGTAAGTGAGAATCTGGGCCTATGGGACAGGGCAACTTGTGGGGAGCAGGATGCCAGCAAAGTCCTTGGCAGCTAGAAGGAGCAGTAGGAAAATGAAGGAAGGAAGGATTGAGACTTGAGGGGCTTCAGTGGTTGGTGTTCTTTTCAAGACATTTGTCTGTCCACATTTGAAGTGGTATGAAATGGAAAGCCAAGAAATTGACCTGAAGGCATGTGGTGAACATATCAGAATATTTCTTACAGAATTCCTGTGTTATAAACAAAGAGGTACCAGTAAGAGGGGAAAAATAACACAGATTGGATTCAACATTGTTTAAGGAGAGCTAAGTTGACACTCTGTAGTCAAACTTTCTCCTGGGAGTACTTGGTAAAGATAAAAATCAAGGAAGAGTTGCTGCTGAACTCTAGCGCCAAGAGTGAAGTGTATGTGGCCAGAGCCTTACTCAAACCACAGCCCAGTGTAGACACAGCTCAGCCCTGATGAGATGAAGGTAATCAGCCTCCCTATGCCCCTCTGTATCTGCCAAGTTGTGGAATGGGTGAATCATCTCTTCGGTGGAAGCTAAAATTATAAAGTCTCTCTACAATTCTTACTGACTGTGTCAAGCAGTCAATAAACAATTACCAAGCATTCCAAGAAACAGGACCATCATATAACAGAAACCAGAAAAAAAAAAAGATGTAAAATAGATCCAGAGTTGATCAAAATACTGAAGTTAGTAGATAAGGTATTTAAAATTGGTATTTTACGATTGATTACCATGATTAAAATTTTAATACAATTATGGGGGCGATAGGACAAATTGATGAAAAAAATAGAGGCTTTCACCAGAGAAGTAAACTTGTAAGAATCAATAGGAAGTTTTAGAAATATATAGTGCATTTCAAGTTAAGTCATATATGAGTTCAATAGATGATTAGAAATTAGGTATGAAAGAAGACAAAATTAGTAAACTGAAAAACAGATTAATAGAAAATGTCAAAATTGAAGTACGATGTGAGTAAAGGATGAAAAATGCTGAAAAACGCAGAAAGGATGTATAGAATCCAGTCAAAAATTCTAACACACATGCAATGGGAGTACCACATGGAGAGGAGCAAGACAAGGGGACAAAAGCAATCAGTGGAAAAATAATGGCTAGAAATTTTCTTAAATGGTTGAAATAAATCAACCATTTATTTGAAGAAGCTCTAGAAATCCCAAATCAAATAAATATAAAGATAGCCCACCAAGGTAAGTCATAGTTAAATTGATTTTTTAAAAAATGAGGAGGCCAGGTATGGTGGCTCACGCCTGTAATCCCAGCACTTTGGGAGGCCAAGACGGGTGGATCACGAGGTCGGGAGAGCGAGACCATCCTGGCTAACACCGTGAAACCCTGTCTCTACTAAAAATACAAAGAAAATTAGCCGGGCATAGTGGCGGGAGGTGGAGATTGCAGTGAGCCGAGATTGCAGCCACTGCACTCCAACCTGGGCGACCCAGGGAGACTCTGTAAAAAAAAAAAAAAAAAAAAAAAAACACAAGACTGAAATGATTTCAAACACCAAATATCAAAGACGGAAAGCAAATAATACTATGAAAGCGCTGAAGGAGAATAACTGCCAATCTATAATTCATTGTCTACCAAAAGTATGCTCCATACATGAAAACAAAAATATATATCTCAACCAAACGTAAACTTATTGCCAGCATATCATCATGAAGACAGTCTTGTAAGGACATTTTTCAGACTGAAGAAAAATGATTTCAGTCACAAACAGTATTGCAGAATGGAATGAAGAATACTGGAAAAGACAAATATGTTGGCACATATAGATAAATATAAAATAACGTAAAAGTTAAAACATTTTGGAATTAATATGCATGATAAAAATAAGTCTGGAAGGGATAAATGAAGTTATTCTAACGTCTGAACATGAGTGGGGAAGTTGTAAAAGTAATTGTTTTAATTAGACTGTGTAACTCAAGAATACATGTTTTAATCTCATCAGTAACTTCTGAAAGTACAGTTAAAGAATGTTTGTGTGTATGTGTGTGTATGTGTGTGTATGGTGTGTGCATGTGTGTGTATGGTGTGTGTATTCAGCAAGGTCATATAATAGCATTATGTAAGAGGTCTATATATCAGAGGTTAAACAGAAAGATTTTATTAATACAAAAGCTACAAAAGGAAAGGGAAGTGCCATAAAACATGCAGGTTAATTGAAACATGTTATAGAATGGTAGTTTTTAACCAAAATACATT